AGTTTTTGAAGAAGGGAAGTGGTAGACTACTACTATATAAATAAGGGGTTTCCAAGTTTCATCAGAAAACTTGTGAGGAAAGGGGTTTCCAAGTTTTGCCAGAAAACTTGTGAGGAAGGGATTTTCAAGTTTCGCCAGAAAAACTTGTGAGGAGAGGGTTTCCAAGTTTCGTCATAAAATTTCTGAATGAAAGTTTCCAAGTTTTGCCATAAAACTTGTGAATGAAGGTTTTCAAGTTTCGCTAGAAAATTTGTGAATGATGATGGATTAATGTGAGACTTTGGATGAAGGGAGGATATGTTGTGCCCAATGTGTGTGAGTATCCTCCAAAGTCCCACATCGGGTAGTTTTGAAGAAGGGGAGTGGTAGACTACTACTATAAATAAGGGGTGATAGTTTGGGTCTACACACCACAACAACACTAGTTCTTGGGTGTATTGGAGACTTGGGTAGTTGTGTATCAAGAGAGAGTTTGTAATTTTTCCGTGCAAAAATTGTGTGAGAGGGTTTGCAATTTTATCCTTGTAAAAATTGCAAATGAAGAAATAAAATAATTTGTTGAATGTGTTTGTGGATGTAAGCAAGGAGTGCCGAACTACGTTAATTTCTAAGTTTATTTCTCTTGTGTGTGCTTTCGCTATTGAAGTTTTCTTTTTCTTCTAGTACCCAACAATTATAACATCAACATATGTTAAATTCTATAAATTTTAGGTTGAGAAGTTTAGTCTCTGTAGTGAATTTCAGATTAATTTCTTCCGACAGTCTCCGCAAGCTGATTTGCATATAAGCAAAAATCACTTGAGATTGACATACAAATGTATAATGCAAAACATTATCAAGTAACAACGTGAAAATTAAATTCAATTAATAAACAAGTTGTAATCACATCAACTATATAAGAAATCTAAAATGCAGTGATATTAGCAATGGGCAAAGTGCATACCTCCATAAAAAAAAATTGAACTTTCTCAATCTTTTCTCAGCATTGCCGTATCAAAGGAGTATGGCTTTACAGCTCTTCAAATGCATAGCGTCTGTCCCAAAACCAAATTTTAAAGTCTAATTTATTTTTTTTCTTAAATATATTATATTCAATAAACACTTTTTTTTTTCTTCCAAAAATGAGATGATAGAATTTAAATAATAAGATATTAAATAAGAGTTTTTGAGTCTAAATATACATATATTAAAATTTTCTTAATCTATATGTATTAATCTTAAATAATTAAATATTTTAGATAGAAGAAGTGCCAATTATTTTTAAAATGTGAGAGGAGAATCAAGCTTAATAAATGAGAGAAAAACTTAACCATTCCATAAAAACTAAAATCTATGATCTATGCTTAATGACTTTGTAAAAATAAATAATAAGCTAAATACAAGCACGAGCTGTATAGTCTATCCTTTACTTTAATTGACAATTTATTTTTTTTAATGATCAATATTCCAAAATAGAAGTTAAATTTCGTTGCTAGTTTGTTGTGCTTGATGGAAGAGTATTTTATTTTATTTTATATTGTAGGAATCTTATGTGGTTTGTTAGGGTTTATTATATGCCTCTGGTAATGGTACTCTAGTTGGAGCTAGAGGGTCTCATGCTTTATTCATTCTACTTCTGCATAAATCGAAGCCGATAAGTACGTGGCAGTTTTATTTCTTATTATAAAATAATCTTCGCCTAACTATTAAAAAAAATGAAAGAAAGAAAGAAAAACTACGTCCTCCATTCTTTAACTATAAAGTGTTATAAGTTTTTTTTAACCGTGTGTTTGATTCTCATAAATAAATAAACAAATAAGCATGAGAATGTATTTGAGTAAATGAAAAAATAATTTAATAATTTTTTATTATACAAAAATTTGTGTAGTACATTTGATTATAAAATTTATTAAAATGCTACTATAGATTGAGTAATAAGTTATTTTGCAACATTTTTTCTTTAAAAAATGTTACTATAGATAGAGTAACAATTTTTTTATCTCAATATTATTATTTTTAATTATTTCTAAAAATTAAAATTTCACATTGAATAAATGAATGACACATAAAAAATATATATAATTATAAAATGATACTTAAAATAAATAGACTATGATATTTGATATAGATTTAACGGTAACAAACTAATAATATCTTCAACTTTAAAAAACTTGTAAGAGATTATAAATAATAAAATATAAATAATATCAACATCTATATTAAAAATAATTATTAATTTAAAAAATTAACTAAAATTTAATAGTGTTATAAAATATAATTTTAATAATATTTAAAAAATATTATTTAATTATATAAAAATATTACTAAAATTTTTAGTAACATAAATTATATGCAATTTTTGATAATATGTTACAAAAATAAATAATATTTATATATAATTAGATAATTTTTTAAAATATTACAAAAATATTTTTTTTTGTTGTACTACACACCGATGAGAACCTTTGTGTGAAGTAGTATATTAAAAAAAATTAAACTGTAAAATAGTTGGTTTATTCACTTTATAGATAGTCAACCCTCCACTTTAATTGACAGATTTTTTCAGTGTCAACCCTTCACTTTAATTGACAGCTATGATACTCTGAGTGTCAACTCCTGACCTACCTTCACTTTTTTTTATGGCGACTTTACTTCCTATTCAAAATTCATGAGCTGGTAATTAATTTTATCGTAGGTCTTTTTGTCTCTAGAAATCTGTGATAAGGCATGGCTATGGTCAACCACTTCTACATGCATACCACTTAGATATAAGTTATGAGTGTTTTAAAAGTTTTTTTACTAAAAAAATTATCAAAACAATTTCTAAACTTATATTCACACGTATTGTTAATCCACATATACTGAAAGTAGGATACAAGTGCCAATTCTACGTTGAATGCCGATACAATTGTACAAAGTTAACAGATCTGATGAAGAGCATTTTTTGGTTATTATCTCGAGCACGTGCAGATGGATGGGTGGGAATTTAAAACACAACATTCAAGTACCCCAATCTTGCTGCTGTTGGAACATGTTGAGGGGGGAGGGGTTCGTGAAATTAAAGAGCTTCACCAATTCTTCTGACTTTAGACATACATCAATAATTTTTGTATTGACTTGTACTCCTTTTGAATTGTACGTGATTTCATACTTGAATTTGAACTGCAAAATCTCTTTTTTGGGTTTCTAAGTGCTCTTTTTCGTTTGAAAGCAATTAATTTTTGCATGATCACATAATGCACTACCAAAAGCTCAATTATAACACATGAAATTCACAGTAGATTTGATATCATTATCTTAATATATAGCCAAATTTAATTAATTTTGTCCATGTACAATATAACACTTAAAAGATTTCAAATCATTTTTTTTTTTAAATGAGAAACAAATGATGTTTGTTAGGTTGAGAAGTTTAAATGCTAAGAAGCAGTTCATCGATGGGTAGTGAATAAAATTTGACATCACATTATAATTCAAAACCTTTATGTGTTAGGTTGGTAAGTCCTTCTTCATTTATATATTAAGTAATATGATTAATACTAATCAGATTAATACTCTTTTCATATTTGAACTCTAATACTCTTTTTCAAGTGTGAATCTTTTTTATATGGTCAAGTTCTCTCTTTACAAGTATTTAATGATAGCCTATTTATATCGTCATTAGTACACTAAAATGAGATATCGAAAAGTTTTTAAATATCAGAGAATATTTAGATAGATGAGTTATTCTTACTTATATAATAGTTAATATATCTAATTGATGTAAAAAAAATTTATACTTAAACTCTAACAATCTTTAGGTATAATTAATTTATTTAAAAGATAAAAACTCTTCCTAAGGATAATTTTTTTTTTCTTTTTCATATACATAAATCTTAAGATCAGCTTTTAGAATTACATGCTTAAGAAACTTGAATTCCTTTCACGTGAACTGACATAAATTTGGTGATTGAACCGTAAAATATAGGAAGTTAAGTATACGTACGTCCTCTATATATTAGTGTTTGAAAAAAACATGCCTGTCATTTTAAACTATGTATCTTCACCATGGCAAAAAATCTCAAATGTAAATACAACCAAATTCCAACCAACATTAATATGAATTCTTAAAAAAAAATGTCTTCGCTATTTGTAGTTCTGTAATGGGTCAATACTAGCTTGGCAAGCTAAGAAGGTAGTCAAATATCTGAACTGACAAAAATGATTTCTGACTCATTATGGGTTCATTAAATCCACTTGCTTCGACCCAATACTGGCCTAATTAACTTATTTTGACACACTTAGTTCAAATAAGGAGCAAGTAACCTGAGGACTTCTTTCTTGTGAATTGGAAGTTAGAAATCACGATAACAAACGCTACAAGACGTTGGTTACTATATCTGATAGGAATACTACATTTATTATTGCTATTTAGGAATTACTGCCATATTGATGAAATGCACACTTTTGCGTCTCTGCAGAAGTAGTAAGGGAGTTATCTATATAATTAGTCAATGAGATCAACCAATTCAGTCTCATTCTCACCAATTTAGTAAGGGAGTTACCAATTTTTCTTCTTTTTATATTTCAGCCATATTGTTACATCCACCCACCAACCTCAAAGGACGTTTGCAACTTGCAACCTCTACACGTGCGGCCAATACTACACCCAACAATACACCGTAATACCAGAGGATTCATTTTTCTTTTCTTAATTAAACTTCTAACAGTCCTTTTAAAAGCATATTCGTAGTTTGATGTGAACATTTGTAACAGTAAAAAGGGATATAATATTATCCATTAGGTTCTCGTTGTTTTCAAATTGCTTTCATCAAACGTGGTAAAGTTAAACTAATTCCAATATGCACTATTACATACAGTATAATTTATACGTACAGTTGTAGTTAAACCGGCAGAAACTCGTGTAACTTTGACAATAACCCAAAATTCAAGATGTGATAAAAGATTAAAAGCTCGCCAATATTCCAAATTAAAAGAAAAGAAAAAAAACTTGGTGAGTTGGTAATGTACTTTTCCTTCTGGAACATGTTTATTTAATTAATATATTGTTTTATAGAGAGCGATAGGCTTATAAATCTCCAAGTCCAACAGTGTACTCTACTCAGACGTTCACCAACTGGTATACGGCGTGCGAATTGCGATGTTGGGAACACATCACCTCCACCTGATAGCGATCCTCTTTCTCCTGCCATGCTCGTGCTCAAGTGCAAGTAGTTACATCCCACAAGAGCTTCACAAAGGCTTCACGGCGTCGCCGGAGTCTTCAACGGCGTCGTTTCAGGCAGTTCTGAGCGACCCAAGCGGCAACTTCTCTCTAGGGTTCCTCCGCGTGAACCAAAACCACCTGGCACTGGCCATCCTCCACGTGGCATCCTCAGAGCCATTCTGGCTGGCCAACCCAACCCACGCCGCCTCCTGGTCCCACACCACTCGCCTCTCCTTCAACGGCAGCCTCGTCCTCACGGATCCCGAAACGCGCGTTTGGTGGTCAACCGCCACAAACGGTGACCGCGCGCTTCTCCTCAACAACTCCAACTTGCAAATCCAAACCAGAGCCCAAGGGACTCCTCTCTGGGAGAGTTTTAATTTTCCCACAAATACCCTCGTCCAGGGTCAAAACTTCACCTCTCACATGACCTTGCTCTCTCTCCCTCCCAACGCTTTTTACTCTCTGCGGTTGGGCGACAATTTCATGGGACTATACGAGAACCGCCACTTCTTGTATTGGAAACACACAGCACTGGAAACAAAAGCGGAAATAAAAGAAGGACAGGGACCCATTTACGCGCGAGTCAACTCGGAGGGTTACCTCGGGATGTATCAAACAAACGATAAACTACCCGCGGATGTTCAGAAGTTCAACAGCTTCCAACAGCCAGTCACAGCGGCCTCGTTTTTGTTGGTGCGCTTGGAACCGGACGGGAACCTCAGAGGCTACTACTGGGACGGTTCCAACTGGCTGCTTAACTACCAGGCTATTACTGAAACCTGCGACCTCCCCCGCCCCTGCGGTTCCTACGGTTTGTGCACGCCTGGCGGCTCTGGCTGCTCCTGTTTGGATAACCGGACCCGGTTCGAACCGGGTGGGTGTTTCAATCATGTTAGTGGAGACCTGTGTGGTGGAAGAAAGAGTTACCGCGTGGTGAGAAGGAGCGGCGTGGAGCCACCGCATAAGGAGTTAGTTAGTCACGTGACGACGTCGTCTTTGGCGGAGTGTGAATTGTTGTGCCAGAATAACTGCAGCTGTTGGGGAGCCTTGTATAGCAACTCCACCGGGTTTTGTTACGTGTTGGATTACCCGATCCAGACCATGTTGGGTAGCGGGGATGGGTCCAAAGTGGGTTATTTCAAAGTTACAAAGGAGGAGCGCGGGAAGATGAATCGGGTTTGGGTTGTGGTAACGGTTTTGGTGGTGGTTGGGATTGTTATTATCGGGGGTGCAGTTTGCATGACGAGGTGGAAAAAGAGGAATGGGGTGAAGGAGGATGATTGGGCTTCGCCCGGCCCGTATAAGAATCTTGGATCGGCGAGTTTTAGATCCATTGAGATGTCCAGTAATGGGAAATGACGCAAGGGGTGACGTGTGATTCATCTTGTGATAGTATTTCCCTTTGACTATTTGTTTTGTGGCACTTGCGAAGAATGATAGTGGTTGGCGCACCTCCGCATGTCATGTGATGTGATGTGACTTGGCTCCACGAGTGCTTTTGAGTTTTGACATTTCCTTTTTTTATACAAAGCGATTGACTCCCAGCCAAGTGGATCGCTACAGGATGTGTTTGTTTTTCTCACCAACCAGCCAGGGAAAGGCAAGTGCGGTGAATGAAACCAAACCATACCAAACCATACCAAAGATGATGATTTCACTACTACAGTATTATTTGAGGGTGGAAAAATCAATCAGCATCAGAGACTGAACTTAATAAATTCTTGTCTAGTTTTGCTGAGGCCATGGTGTTTTTTATATTGCAATTTGACTTCAAAATGCGGCCGCTTCACGTGTAATTATTGCAATTCGGCATTTTGATAGTTGCATCCTTAGGCCTTTTTTTCTTCTGCATTAAGATCCAATTATTCATTATTCAAAGCTATTCTGGTTAACGTCTAGCTCCATGTATCAGATTGATCCCAGAGTTTGATAGTTGCATCTTTTTCTCAATAAAACTTTTATACTGCTTCATTCATTACCGTCTTTTATCTTCTTTCATTATGAGCGTGCCTATATACAGGATCGTGTCTACATCACTTGAAACTTGAATGAATCATCAAGGATGATTGAAAATTATCTCGTTAAATTCTTGTTATCAATATATTTTTATGCCTTAAATTAACTTTAATAACTACTAAAACAATGAGATTGCAACACGTTATTTTATAGACTCATGTATGATATCAAAGTTCAAAAACACACGCACTAATAAGTCAAAGTGGTATATTCTCATCTATTTTTATGAGACTCAATTACCTAATTTTAACAAATTTCTCGCTCCGCGTCACCCACGTCTCGTACATGCCTTTCGCGTCACTCACGTCCCATACATGCATGCTGCACTCTTTTTTGTTTTGCATTCGATTACCATTTCATCATTTTTCTCTCACTTTTCATCCTCTGTATATATATCTCGTTTGTAAACTTAATGAAAGCAGGCTGCTATTGATTCATTCATCTCTTTTTACACTCCTTTTCTCTCATGCCAAAGTTTAATATGGTATCAGAGCTCTTCCATTGAAGAGCTCTGCTGCGCGTTTCTCCTTTCTCAAGCTACCATGGAGGAGGATTCTCATTCAATGTCTTTTCATAATTTCCTTTATCTTCATCCTAGCAAGAACCCAACCACAGCACTTGTCTCACCTGTTCTTGATTCAACAAATTACCACTCATGGAGCAGATCCATACTGCCCTCAGTGCCAAAAACAAAATAGAGTTTGTAGATGGAAGTGCTCCACAACCACCGAAATCAGACGTTACTTATCCAGCTTGGAAACGATGCAACAATATGGTTGTCTCATGGCTTGTACACTCAGTTTCTCCTCCTATTCGTCAGAGCATTCTCTGGATGGATAAAGTAGATGAAATTTGGAATGATCAAGGTATGCCCAAAGCGACCTACTTCGTATTTCAGATTTGCAGCACGAAGCTTCCTCCATTCGACAAGGAGATCTTTCTATTACTGAGTTTTTCACAAAGCTCCGAGTTATTTGGGACGAGTTAGAAAATTTCAGACCCGATCCCACATGTTCATGCACCCAGAAATGTTCATGTAATGTTATTCCCACTATTGCACAAAGGAAACGAGAAGACCAAGCGATGCAATTCTTGCGTGGCTTAAATGAACAATACAGCAATGTAAAATCCCACGTTCTTCTCATGGATCCTATCCCACCTATTTCCAAGATCTTTTCATATGTTGTACAGCAGGAACGACAACTTCTGGGATCTAATTTTGTTGCCAATACCATTACGAAAACTGCCATTATCAATGCTGCCTCTTCTGTTACATGCACTTATTGTGGTAAACAGGGACATGCTGAAAATGTGTGCTATCGAAAGCATGGCTTTCCCTCTAATCACGAAAACAAAACCAACAAAGGAGTGTCTAACTGATCTGTCAAAATCTGCACTCACTGTGGGAGAAATGGGCATACTATCGAAGTTTGCTATTGTAAGCATGGGTTCCCTCCAAGTTACAAAGCTTCCATTGGTAAAACCTCTATTGTTAACAGTACAGTGACTGATGAATGTAAAACCAATGATCAACAGCAAGCCACCATCACCCAGGATTATCGCTTCACTCCTCAGCAGTACCAAGTCTTGATGGATTTAATACAACAGTGCACTAATGACAGCTCAGCTTCACCTTCTCCTTCCACCAACCATATTCATTCTGTCTCATCCTGTTCCACACAACCCTCACCACCTCCAGGTACAGTATCCTCTATATCTACCCACACACAAATCTCCACCTCTTGGGTCATTGACTCAGGGGCCACTGACCATGTCTCTTCGTCACTTTCAAATTTCTTCACATACAATTCTATTAATCCTATTACTGTCAAGCTTCCTACAGGTCAACACGTTCTTGCCACTCATGCTGGTGTAGTAAAATTCACTGACACTTTCTATCTAACTGACGTTTTGTTTATACCAGAATTTAAATACAACTTGATTTCCATCTCTAAGCTTGTCTCTTCTCTCGATGTGCAACTTATATTTTATTCTACACATTGTCTCATTCAGGACGTGAATACCAAAGAGAAGATTGGTACAGTTGATGTAGAAGTTGGTCTCTACACCATGACGACTGCTGTTGTTCAACCTTCAATCCTGTCAGCCATATATAATCCTGAATGGAGCATCCAAAACATTGATTTGTGGCATTTTCGCCTGGGACACTTGCCATATGACAAGTTACACTCTATGAAACAATATTATCCATGTTTATATAGCAACAAACATTTCACGTGTAACACTTGTCACCATGCTAAACAAAAGAAACTGTCATTTCCTTTAAGTCACTCTCATGCATTACAATCTTTTGCTTTACTTCACATTGACATCTGGGGTCCCTGCTCAAAAACATCTATACATGGTCATCGTTATTTTCTAACCATAGTCGACGATCATACACGATACACATGGGTTTTTCTTATGGCTAGTAAAGCTGACACATGCAACTGTGTTACTAATTTCATTTCTCATATTGAAAACCAATTTGCAACTCGTGTTAAAGTCATAAGAACCGATAATGGGGCTGAATTTTCCATGAATAACTATTTTGATTCCAAAGGTATTATTCATCAAACCACATGCATTGAAACCCCTGAACAAAACAGGATTGTTGAACGCAAACATCAGCATTTGTTGAATGTCACCCGTGCACTTCTTTTTCAATCCAATCTACCTCCTACGTTTTGGAACTTTGCCCTCATGCATGCTACATACATTATTAATTGCATTCCTACACCATTCTTGCAACATACATCACCTTTTGAAAATTTGAATGGCAAACCTTGTGACATTACCACCCTTCGTGTTTTTGGATGTCTCTGTTATGTTAGCACACTCAAAGCTCATCGTACAAAGCTGGATCCCAGAGCTAGTCCTTGTGTTTTTCTTGGTTTTCAACCACACACAAAAGGCTACCTTACCTTCAATCTTAATACCCGCAGCATTGAAGTATCTCGAAATGTTGTTTTTTATGAAAATCATTTTCCTTATTTCACTCAAGATACTCAATCTGCGTCATCCACTCCTTCTCTTCCTACACCTTTCACCAGCAACCCCATGATTCACGACTACAATTTTTATCCTCCTTCACCTTCTTCTCACCCTCCTCATTCACTTTCTTCACCAGAATCTCCAACTTCATCCCCTATTCCTAGTCGACCCACTCGTTCACGCCACCCACCCTCCTATCTACGTGACTACCATATGACTTTTACATCAACTGGACCATCATCATCTCCAGGTATTCGATATCCTTTAGACTCTGTCATTTCATATAATCGTTTATCTCATCCTTTCCGTCATTTTATTATGTCTATTTCCCTCCTCACCGAACCCAAATCTTATGCTGAAGCTTCTAAAAGTGACTGTTGGATTAAGGCTATGACAGATGAGATTACTGCCTTGGAAGCCAATAATACCTGGACTGTTACATCCTTACCTCCCCACAAAACTGCCATTGGTTGTAAATGGATCTACAAAGTTAAACATCATGCTGATGGATCAGTGGAACGACACAAGGCGCGTCTTGTAGCTAAAGGCTACACCCAACTTGAAGGTCTTGATTTCCTTGACACTTTTGCTCCGGTTGCTAAGCTAACTACTGTTCATCTTCTTCTCTCTTTAGCTGCTATTCACAATTGGTTCCTCAAACAGTTAGACATCAATAATGCTTTTTTGCATGGAGATCTTAACGAGGAGGTATACATGCATCTTCCTCCTGGTTTAACCACCACTACACCGGGTCAAGTTTGCAAACTGAATCGTTCTTTATATGGCCTTAAGCAGGCGAGTCGGCAATGGTATGCTCGTCTTTCCACCTTTATCATGCAACAGGGGTTTCACCATTCATCTGCAGACCACTCTTTGTTTTTGAAGTTTACAAATTCTGCCTGCACAGCTCTCTTAGTTTACGTCGATGATATTGTTCTTGCTGGGAATGATCTTACTGAAATACACCAAATTACGGCTCTTCTCCACAAAACATTCAAAATAAAAGATCTTGGAGACTTGACTTATTTTCTTGGTCTCGAGGTTGCTAGAAACAGTATCGAGATTCACCTCTGTCAACGCAAGTACACTCTTGATATTCTCTCTGATACTGGCATGTTAGCATGTTGTCCATCTTCCACCCTAATGGATTACAAAGCTGCTTTATCTTCTGATACTGGAACACCTTTAACTGATCCATCTGCATATCGCCAATTGATTGGCCGGTTGATCTACCTCACCAACACACATCCTGACATTACTCACGCCGTACAACACCTAAGTCAATTTGCTTCCAAACCTACCACCTATCATCAGCATGCTGCCTTTCGTATACTTCGCTACTTGAAGCAAGCGCCTGGTCGTGGTATCTTTCTCTCTGCCAACAGCTCTCTCCAACTGAAATCTTTCAGTGATTCCGATTGGGCAGGTTGCATGGACACCCGTCGCTCCATCACAGGGTTTGCTGTTTATCTTGGACACTCACTCATCTCATGGAAATCCAAGAAACAAGCCACTGTCTCCCGCAGTTCATCAGAAGCCGAATATAGAGCTCTTGCGTCCACCTCCTGCGAAATTCAATGGCTCACTTATCTTTTAGAAGACTTTCGCCTCCAATTCATTCGCCCTGCTCTTCTTTACTGCGACAACCAATCAGTGTTACAAATAGCTTGCAACCAAGTGTTTCATGAGCGCACAAAACACATTGAGATAGATTGTCACCTTGTTCGAGAGAAAGTTTCTAATGGCTTACTCAAATTGTTACCTGTTTCTTCATCTGCTCAACTGGCTGACATATATACCAAGGCACTGTCTCCTTCTCGTTTCAACGAGTTGAATTCCAAGCTGGGAATGTCTGATATCTATTCCCAGCTTGCGGGGGGATCTTAACAGATTTCTCGCTCCGCGTCACCCACGTCCCGTACATGCCTTTCGCGTCACTCACGTCCCATACATGCATGCTGCACT